TTAGGGTTAAATAACAAACTGAGAGAATACGCTTTAGAAGTAAGTAAGCTCTTTTTTTAAAGGCCAACAATTTAGCAAAATTTTGAATGATCGTTACAGTGTAACAGACTAACATACCTCAATGTGGGGTTGGGGGGATGAGAAGAGATAAACCAAAGAACTTCTATACTTACATGCATAGCCCATGGACATTGGCAATAGGGTAGTGGAGACCTGAGGAGCGGGTAGGGGCTGGGAAGGCATGAATGAACTAGGTGCAAAGGACAGCAAAGTAGAACTGGGTGAATGTATCACTGGGAAGGGCTAAACCTCACTTAAAGGGAACCGAATGGTTACCTTGAAATACTTTTTCTCCTTTGTCATTATTTGCATCATAATTTTAAGTCCTTACTCTTTAATACAATGGCTGATTCTTATAATAAAATAATCTTGTACAATGCATTATCCTGATATGAATTAGCAAATTTTTCTTAAGGTGAGAGTCAAGATTCTAGAAAAAAATGGGGGTTATCTGTAATACTATCAACAAGAAAAAATATACTTAAAAAATACAGTCTAATTTCTAGAATGAGCAATGAAAAAACGACTATGCCATCTTATTTTCAGAAAGAACTGAATTGGCATTGTGTACATTCTGGATATCAGTCTTAGATATATATGGTTCTTAATAATCAGTGCCAAGTTTGCATACACCATAACTGGCTTGTGTATATTTTTGGTGGTTGATAATACTGTAAATATTAATTTGACACTTTACTTTGCTTTATTTCTATGTCTTTTATTTGTGAACAATCATAAAATCTCATGTGGCCCAGATAGCAGGAGTATGCAATGGGGACTTACTGTTAGGAATTTAAGCAGAATTCAGTAACTATAAAGTATTTCTCTAATAGGAAAAGAATAAGACAAACCCTCTCTTGACCTTTGTTTCACATGAAAATGACCGGAGTTTGACACCAAAATGACAGCTGGTTAAAGCAGCCTGAGATTTCAAAGTGCTTGAGTATATGTAAATATTATGACTGATCTCATAAGTGTATTGGAAAACACTTTCAGGAAGGTCCTTGGTTTAACAGTTTGCTACATTTTGGTTTTATCTTCTGAATTTAGAAGAAATAGAATAATTAAAAACATGTAGTTGAACTCAGCAGACCCAAGATCAGAGGTTAATACTGTGAATGCATATTACCATGTTGTGCATAAACCGAGGGCTCAGATCCTTGTAGTTTGATGATATGACAGATACCGCTCCAAATTAACGTTATGTCAATAGCAATAGCATGTAGAAAATCCATCACTAAAATTTTGTTTGGCCACTTCCTTTTCTGTAACAGAACATGTTAGGGCAGAGGGAACTCTCAGAAATCAACGAAGGTCATGGACAGATCATTTCTATACTCTGGTCTCCTAAGAGTCAAAAGGGCATATCTACTGTCAAGTCTCTACTCCTGAAAATTCTCTTGACTTTATGTTTTAAATCTCATTCAAGCTACTGCTTATCCTAAACATGTATCATTCGGAAGGGCTAAGTAAACCAGACTCAGTTTTGAAGGTCCCAAGGAGGACTCTTTCAGGCAAGCGTGGCTTGTGTGCCTGCTCTTGTGGGCAGAGGAGTAGAGCTACTAGAAGTTTCTGTGCAGTTCTCTGTGGGCAAGAAACACTTGGGATGACCCAGGGAAAAGAATAGGAAGCAAGATTAATAAACAAAAGTCATAGTGGTGAAGTTTGTTATTAAACAGAACAGATTAAGATTATCGGCCGCACAAAGTTCAGGCAGAAGCTTTCCCATGAGGCTTGCAACATTTCTAAAAGGCATTAGCATCAATTAGTGAAGAATTAATTCAGAAACGTGGAGGTTGAGTGGGGACTTGTCATCTGCGTGGGAGTGTAGATCTGGGGAGCAGAGAAAAGGCTGCGCCAGTCTCCTGCAGGTGGCATGGTTGGCATAGATTGAGATTAATGATTTTATATCTTTTTATTTTTACTTAAATATTTTTTTATTGATTTCAGAGAGGAAGGGAGAGGGAGAGATAGAAACATCAATGATGAGAGAGAATCATTGATTGTCTGCCTCCTGCATGTTCCACGCTGGGGATTGAGCCCACAACCCAGACATATGCCCTGACTGGAAATCGAATGGCTACCTCCTGGTTCACAGGTCAATGCTCAACCACTGAGCAACACTGGCTGGGCTATTTTTTAATTTTTTTTAAAAAAAATAGTACATGCACATGGTACAGAATTCAGACACTGCAGCAAAATCAAATGAGAATTAAGTCAGCTTCTCCCTTCAACTCGCAGTCCCCAATTCATTCTGAAGAGTCGATACTTTTTTGTAAATCCTTCTATGCTGTTTGCATAGACAGGAATTTATATACAACTTTTTTCCCCAACACAAACAGTAGTATCATATACAACTTCTCCATTTTATGCACAGATAACATGCAAGTCATATCATTCTAAACCTTGTTTTTTTTTTAACTTAATAGATAATAATTTCATTCCTTTTAATTTCCTCAATTCCTTTTAACAGCCACATTATATTCTATCCTATAGATGTGAAAATTCCCTGTGGTAGACATTTAAGTTGTTTCAAGTCCTTTGGTTCTATAAACCATCATTCAAAAACCTGGAAATCACCCTGACACTCTCCTCTCTCTCTCATTCTCCACACCCAGTGTGCGGCCAGATTCTATCAGTTCCACCTACGCAACATGTGGTGTGCATCTGTGCCCTCTTGCCACCTCCACTGCCATACCCCAGCCACTTCTGACGTGGCTTACCGCATTAGCTTCTCACTGGCCTCCCTGACTTCACTCTTGCCCTCTTCAAGTCATTCTTCACAGGCAATGAATGTGAGGCTGTTCTCATCATAAGAGAAAGGCAAACTACAATGAATGCCATTTTCCACCTGTTCGATTGTCAAATTTCAAAAATTTTGATAATATAGTGCTTTTGTAAGGGCTTAGGATTACTAGTATAGGCACTCATACATTGCTGGTGGGCGTATAAATTAATTCACTCAGTTTGGGGAGCAACTTGGCAATATCTATGAGAAAGTATATGCACCTTTGGCAAGAATGAGAAAGTATATGCACCTTTGTTTTTCCCTGCGGCCTGAAATGCTTATTTCCTTTGCTTATTCCCTTCTTTTATCAGTGACTTCCACTGAGAAACGTTTCCAGTCTAAATTTGGTTCCCTTATTAGCCTATCTCATAAAAGGATGCAATTACATATTTATTTGTATGGATTTTACTTAGTGCCTGCTCTGAGTACCACTTTTTACTTTATCAGAAGGGGTAGTGGAAAAACTCAAGGAATCTGAGTTCTGATCATTCGACTGCCTAACTGTGGGCTTTCAGAGAATCACTTAACTTCTCTGGACTTCAGTTCTCTCATCTGTGAAGTCAGAAATCTAGACTAATTGACTTCTAAGGCCCTATAATTTATAGTAGTGAAACGGTATGAGGATATAGTATAAAGTGAAATATACATAAATATTCAATGCTGGTTGTATTCTTAATATAATATGAAATTCACCTAAATATTGCATGCTTGCATAAAAGAATTTTATAAGTGACAGTTTAGTTGATTATTTTCTTCTGAGTA